TGTATCACTCTGGGCTTCTGACGGAGGCAGATATAATAACCTTCCACGAACGTGTAAGCATGGATGGGGGCCACTTCTCAACAAAGACACAGCACACTTGTGTTCACTTCAATTCCACAGCAATAAATCAATGTGTATCAATAAGGCAAAAGCACTGCAATTCACTCACACGATAGGGTTGGACAGAGGCCCCACTCCGGCCGTTGCGCTCGTTTACAGGGTTTTCACTTTTAATTCCTCCTCATCACACTCTGAAACACATAGCTCCTCCAACAGTCAGATCCACATTCACTGTATCCTCTTCAAGTGGTTCAAATGTTCATAAGATGAAACCAATTCACTTATCTTTCCTCTCTCCTTCCACAGCACAGATCCAGCCCTAGCTCGGCCCAGCAGTCTTCCCACAAACGATCAATCTGACCCAGCAAACTCGAATGGGCGATCTCCACACTCCAACGATTTTTCCAAGGAAGCCTGTATCCAGCACTGCCCAGAGTCAACCCTTTGGAATCTTGACACACTGTACACCCACCAACCGCGCTGCAAACACTCTCTAAATGCTCCTTTTATATTGTGGCTTATGAAACAGGAAGCCTGTGTGAGCGCCGCTCCTCTCTCTCTCACACCTGCAATGCATTAGCGCTAATCAGTACGGGCATGTTTCCATCACACCCGGAACCGTAGTGGAGTGTTGCACCCAATACGTTCCCCTAGGAAACTCAGGACTCTCAAGAAGGTTCCGTTACTGAGCGATTTTGTCACCCGTGACACTTCTGCAGTCGTTTTTGTGAGAAAATTTTACTTCCGCGTCTGAAAATGGGCGTGGCGGGCGTGACGCAATGAGCGGGAGAGCCGTCAAATCACACAACAGGAAAACAATGGATCGCATGACATTTCGGACGCTGAGGAAATACTCGTATGACGGATCAAGCCATAAAGTTATGAGCCTGCTATGCTAAAGAGATCAGGGACAGGCCAGGATATTGTCAGACAGAATGGTCAGAGAAAAATTGACCTGTGATGTGAGGAGAACCAGTGGAGAACAGGACAGGTGCCTTTAGGTGAGAGACGTGCTTATAGTAGGCTATACACGTTCGCTAACGATATACACTGTGCTCACAATATTGTACAGATTATTATGATCCTATAACAGGCCAGCAGACATTAGTATGTTTAGGGTAGATTTATATACTATTAAATGTATAAAAACTTTACTTGAGTATATTTCTATACTAAAAGCATAGGCTACTCAGGTAATACATATTTTTCACCTAGGTTATAACATAAACAGAACATTAAAGATTTGAGTATTTAAACAACCAATTTTGTTTTTCAATTACAAGTTCTATTTAGGGCATGACATGACTAAGTCCCAGCAAACAATTTTACGTTCTGGGAACGTTCTGGGAATGTTAGTTTTTGGTTCCCAGAACGTTCCCAGAATGTTCCCAAGAACGTTCCCTATTGGTGATCCAGGAAAGTTTTCTTAACATATATAGAACGTTCTCTTAAGGTTAGGGGAACGTTCTGGAAACTTTATCAGAACATTCCCAAAACGTTCCCACAACGTTCTGGGAACATTATGCAAACGTTCCCTTAAAGTTTCCAGAACGTTCTACTAACCTTGGTATGTTACAAGAACGTTCTGGGAACCTACTCGGAACGTTCCCAGAACGTTGCGAGAACGTTCCAAGTAGGTTCCCAGAACGTTCCCCTAACCTTAAGGGAACGTTCTATTTACGTTAAGAAAACTTTCCTGGATCACCAATAGGGAACGTTCCTAGAAGGTTCCCTGAAGGTTCTCCTAACCTCTTCATTCTGATGTCTGGTCATAAATAAGTCAACAAGCCACTTCTTCTACATAGTTTATTATTCAAAAAATATAAGAAACAATTTCAATATCTGAACTGAGATATGAACATTTATTAAACAACAATGCATACATATATTAAACAACAATTTATTCATATATTAAATAACAATTTATTCATATATTAAACAACTATTTATTCATATATCAAGCAAAATGTATTCATATATCAAACAAAATTAACATTTACATACAGTGAACACGTAACTGGTGTATGGTGTATGGTGAACGTAACTGGTGTATGGTGTATGGTGAACATGAACAGTGACAATGTGTAAATGGTGAACATGACAACGTGTATGGTGAAAGTGGTGTATGGTATGGTGAACATGACAACATGTATGGTGAACATGAAACTCTGTCTTCACCAATCTCTTCACTTCACCATCAGCTGCAAATCAAAAACAAAGGGAAGGGGGGAGGGGGAAGGCATGAGTTAGATAGAAATTATAGACCTAAAAAATTAACTGTAGTGCAGTTAAGGACTGTGTGCCGATGACTGGTAAGCCATAAATATTATTCATTTTTATTATTAATATCTTTTTTTTATTACTGGCCAGGTATTTATTTATTTGCAAGGCAGTTACTACAACAATTACTAAACATTTATATAATGTTTTTAACTTGCCCTAGTTTTACTTAAAAAAAAAAAATCAAATGATACTTCTACGAAACAACTAAAGTCACCTGCAAGCCTTAAAGAAAAATTCAAGTGTTTAGCACTTTGAGTCTATTTTCTAGTTTGTTTTGGATAAACTAGAGTGGTGGACAAAGAAATTGACGATGGGTCATGTCTCGACTTTTTGACTCTTTTAGGATCGCCTGTAGTGTCTACGGCATGCACAAACATCCTTAAAACAACCCTAAATGTTAGTTTTCAAAACTGTGTCACTCAGTGGTGTGTGCAATAATGAAGTTTTGCTGATGTCTTGTAGACGGATGTTATGATATTTCACTGCGCAAATAATTTACACCCATTTAGTAATTATACTTTCCAAGTTTCCAACTTTTCAAGTCACTCATCAGTAGATGTTGCTAAAACAAATATCAGTCTATAAACCATGTCAAAAATTACACAAGAAAAAATTGATTTTGCATAATGTACATTGAAAATTTAAACAAAACTGACATGATTGCTTACCATTTTAAATGCCGGTGAGGGGCAAATTTAAGGACCATTGAAATTAGGTCTTCAATCTCACTGGCCTTAAGAGATTTGTAGGACTTCTGCATTGCCCCTTGATGTAGGAAAAATATCATGTAAACATTGTAGCTATTTGAGGTATGGTATTATTTAAAATAATGTACATTGGGACCAAAACAATTTTCCAAAGTGCAAAAAATTGGCTATTAATATAAAAAAATGACTGATAACTTGCCTATGATAATATTGCAGATCTTCGTCTGTTGGAAGGGTAGTTTGCCTTTTTTCCCTTTAAGGCTGTAGGCACCCAAGACTTCATTTGATGCAACCTTGCGCAATATTTTGCGCAAGGTTGCACCTGGGTTTGGTCCCCAAGGGACCGAAGGTAGTTCTTCTGTTTAAAAGAAAGAAAGAAAGACTATTATTTAGAGGAAAAAAAGAATATGGCATCATGACACCAGATTAAAGGGTTAGTTCACCCAAAAATGAAAATTCTGTCAGTATTTACTCACCCTCATGTTGTTCCAAACCTCTATGCGTTTATTTGTTCTGCTGAACACAAAGGAAGATATTTGGAAGGATGTTTTAATCAAACAGGGGCTCGTTCTTCGTACGTTGCTTAAAACATCCGAGCCCCTGTTTGATTAAAACATTCTTCCAAATATCTTCCTTTGTGTTCAGCAGAACAAATAAACACATAGAGGTTTGGAACAACATGAGGGTGAGTAAATACTGACAGAATTTTTATTTTTGGGTGAACTAACCCTTTTTTGATGGAAACTGTTCAAGCTGGATGGATGGATGGATGGGTGGGTGGGTGGTTTATGGATGGATGGGTGGGTGGTGGATGAGTGGATGGCTGAACGGTTTATGGATTGATTGGTGGGTGGGTGTGTAGTTTATGGATGGGTGTGTGTTTTATTGATTGAAGGATGGATGGTTTATGGATGGGTGGTTTATGGATGGATGGATGGGTCAGTGGTGGATGGATGGATGGATGGATGGATGGATGGGTGGGTGGTGGATGGTTTATGGATAGATGGGTGATGGATGGATGGATGGGTGTGTGGTTTATGGATGGATGAATGGATGGGTGGTTTATGGATGTATGGGTGGGTGGGTGCTTTATGGATGGGTGGATGGATGGTTTATGGATGGGTCGGTGGTTTATGGATGGATGGATGGTTTATGGATGGATGGTTTATGGATGAATGGGTGGTTTATAGATGGATGGATGGATGGGTAGGTGGTTTATGGATGGATGGATGATGGATGGATGGATGTGTGGTTTATGGATGGATGGATGGATGGGTGGGTGCTTTATGGATGTTTTTTTGAATGGAAACTGTTCAAGCTGGATGGATGGATGGGTGGGTGGTGGATGAGTGGATGGATGGACGGTTTATGAATGGATGGATGGGTGGGTGGTTTATGGATGGATGGGTGGGTGGTGGGTGAGTGAATGGATGGACGGTTCATGAATGGATGGATGGGTGGGTGGTTTATGGATGGATTGGTGGGTGTGTAGTTTATGGATGGATGGATGGGTGTGTGTTTTATGGATTGAAGGATGGATGGGTGTGGTTTATGGATGGATGGATGGGTCAGTGGTAGATGGGTGGGTGGTGGATGGATGGATGGCTGGGTGGGTGGTTTTATGGATGGATGGATGGGTGGGTGTGGTGCTTATGGATGGATGGATGGATGGATGCTTTATGGATGGGTGGATGGATGGATGGATGGATGGATGGGTGGGTGCTTTATGGATAGATTGATGTTTTTCCCCCATGTACCCACACTGGTAACAGTAGGTTGCATTTGAGTGTCTTGCAAAAGTATTACCATCTTGGCACTTTTTTCTTTTGTTTTCCAATTCCCTGTCAAGGATCTTCAGTTCATCCACTGTTTGGCATGGCCCATTTTCCAGGATTTCCCCACCTTCCTCTGTCACCGTAACCGCTACTTGCAGCCAGTAACTGTCTCTGCATGGCCAGGATGTCTTGCTGGTTGTCGACAATCTCTTGCAGCTTTTGTAAGACTTTTGTCCGATAGCCTGTGAAGCAATATTGTATAATGCTCCTTGAATATGCAGTTTTACTGTAGTGTTAAAAATCTAAAAACTGACTTACTATTTGTTGCAGAGTCAGAATACTGGGGCTCTTCTATGAGGAACCGTGAAGCCACTGTGGAATAAAAAAAAAAAAAAAAAAAAAAAAAAAAATCACTATAACTAGAATTATTGATTATTATATATAAATGTAATATTCTGAATTTTAAAAATAATATTTTGAATTTTTAGAATAATACCTTCAAGAGGCTGTGATATACTTGGCAGTTGGGACTCCTGCAGCGATTCCTCTGCTGCATAAACAGACTAGTCAATTACCAAACCGGTTTCACAGACAAGGCTTACAGTGAGTCTAGTCCTAGACTAAAATTTAAATCTGAGCTATTTCAACTGAAAGAAACTTGCAATGACTGATCTTACAACATGTCAGTGCATTTTTTTGTCTAAAGATGCACACCAGTAATTCTTTTTCTAACGCATGTTTATATAACAAAAAAAAAAAAAAAAAAACTTAAATGTCCTAATTTAACTAAGACCTAATCCTGGCTTAGGCTAAGCCCTGTCTGTGAAACCAGGCCATAGATTCAGTATTAA